GCCCAAATGCCGCGCTGGGCCGCCGCCGCCGGCCGCGGGCGGGGCACGGCTGCACGTCCCCGGCGCCTCTATTTTCGTTTTTTTAAGAAATTTAAATACTGATTTTCATTGTGGTTGTACAAGTTTATATTCCTACTAAAAAATAAAATATTTATTTTCCCCTGCAACCTCATCAGCACTGATTATTTGATTTCTTAGTGATACCCATTCTTTCTTGGGTGAAATGGAATTTTATTTTAATTTTCACTTTTTATAATGGCTATCAATGTTGAGTCCTTTTTCATTTATTTATTGGGCATTTGTACCTCTCCTTGTGAGAAGTGTGTATCTCAGTTGCCCATTTTTGATTGTCTCTTCTATTTTGGGGACTCTATTTTTAAGGCCTTTATACATTCTAGATAGTAGTCCTCTGTCTAAGGAATAGCTAGCACTAATTTTCCCCATCCTGTGTGTTTTCTCTTTGCTCGGTTGTGTGCCTTAGTTACCTCACACAGGGTCCAGCATTTCTCATGAGTGAGCTTTTGACCATAACCTTCCTTATACTAATCTTCCTTCTTTTTTTTTAACATTTATTTTATTATTTTTTTAATTTTTATTTGTGTGTGTGTGTGTGTGTGTATGTGGCCAGCTCAGCCCACAAGGGGGCAGGGCTGGCTGGCATGTGGTGCTGGGGGATTGAACTGAGGTCCCCATGCTTTGCTGAGCTTGTTCTAAGTAGGTGCTTTAGACCACTGAGCCATCTCACCAGCCCCCTAATCTTCCTTCTTAAACATTATCCTCCTTAACATAATCCTCCTTCTGAAAAGTTCTGATCATAACTTCTAAGGAGTGGATTTGCTCCTACTCCCTCCTGGATCCTGGCACCTACAGAGAAATACAACAGAGACACTAATCACTCCATATATAATGGACCAGTCTCCTCAATAAAATGTTTCAGGCCCCTCTTACCATGGGCATGCCAATGATCCTGGCTATCACTACAGTGCTTCCCTAAGCCATGAAATGCTGGCCCTGGATCACTTCTGCTCTATGTACCCCAACTGGAGTGTATAGTGTGTTACCCATCTCATTCACACACTTTCACTAACACACACATTCCACAGGACTCCCACTTACCAGCAACAGTCTCAGATGTTCTAGTTTCACCACATTCCATAAACAGCTACTGAAGAATAAAAGAGAGTGATAGTCTTTTGTGGAGACCCTTTCATGAATCTCTCTCCAAACAGATCCTTTTCATATCTCCTAAATCATGGCCCTGCCCCTACAGTAATTCAGATAGCTATCAAATGCTATTTGGTTTTCTCTGTGTTAACCCTTCTTGGACCACCTGTTGGAGCTCTCAGCTGGCTATCTGGGGAGGTCTCCAACATGAAATGAAATATTTTTCCAGTAAGAACTAAACAGGGATTCTCTGTCCATCTGGTCAAGCTCCCCATGCCTTTCATGGGGGAGCCTATCTACTAAAGGTGTATGTGTCAGATTCCAAATGTTCCCAGTGAGGGAACCAAATATAGCAGGAGATAAACAAGATTCTGAACAAAGCCATTCAGACAGAGAGTAGGAGAAAAGGGAGTCTTTATTTGCCAATGTCTCTGCAAGATACTTACATTTCCTTGAGAGCCCTGAGCAAAGTTTTGCTTTTCCTTTAATATTGTTTCTTCTTTTTTTTTTTAGAACCGGGGATTGAACTCAGGCCATTGCGCTTGCCAGGGAAGCGCATATTCCACTGAGCCATCTCCTGGGCCCTAATATTGTTTTTACAGGGAAATGTCTCAATGCCAAGCAAAAAGATTACAGAAGCAAAATCAGAAAAGTGACTAGGGTGTGTGCAAAACTGGCAGGAATTTCCAGGGTCATTATGCTTAACCCATGAGTGCCCAATTTGACCCTAGGAGTTGTTTTCCTCTCTGAGTGGTTGTAGATGTTGTGGCTTCTCTCTTGGACCTTCTCTGCTTTCTCGTTCCTCCAAACAATCCACATTCCTAGCTTCTTCAAACCTTTATGGTCTCCACTGCACCTTTGGCTTCACACTCATAGGTTTACACACTGCCTTCTCAGGCACACTGCCTATCCTTCTTGATCTTAAATATGGATGGACCCCTTTCTGACACCAAAATTCTTCTATGCCGCAAGCAACTAAAACAAGTTCTGTATAGGTGATGCCAAGGTCTGCTGCCAACTGAAGCAGTTTCCTTTGCACTTGGCTGTAGTGATCTCTCTAACTGGATCACTGAACACTCTAAATCCAACTCTGAAGAGCAAATCCTCTAAACTGCTGCCATTCTGGATAATGGTACTCTGGGGCTTTCTTATCAAAGCAAAGTCTTTCTGATTTAGCAACATTAACGCTCTAAAGTGTGGAATCCTGAAGCTCCTTTTGATGCCCTGAGGCCATCTTTTCTGTTCTCCTGTTTTCCTCAGCAATTAAGATCTCTGCTGTATCTATTCAGTCCATAACGTTAGTGGAGCTTCCTCTCTGGACAAACTCAAAATATTTTAAATCATTATTTTGGTTTCTGTGCTCTTGATTCTCAACATAGATCTAGGGAAAAGCCCCCAAGAGCAGACCTGCCAGGACCTCATCTTCAACTGCCTTAAACTTTCTTCTGCAAGATTAATTAATCTGCCACCCCTAATCTTACTTTCAGGCATTCTCTGGACATAAGAAAAATATAGACCAACTTTCTGCAGAGCCATAACACATAGTGTGGAGTACAACAGCCAATCCAACCCTTATTTCCTGCAGAATCTTCCCAAGTATGGCCTTTAATAGCAGTATTTCTATCAGCCTTCTGGACTTCTGAACTCTGACCAGAATCTCCATACAGGATAGTCTAAGGCACTCTAACTCTACTTTTTTAGCTGGAATCACTGGATCTTTCTAAACTCTTCCCACAAGTATTGCAGAGGCTCCTACAGCATATGGTCAAAAATAGTAATAGCAACAACCCCACTTCTTTGGTACCAATTATTTCTAAATTAATTACTTTTCTCATTACTGACAGAAAATGCTTGATACTCAAAATTAAGGGGGAAAAAGTTTATTGGGCTCATAGTTTATAGGAGCTTTAGCCCATATTTTCCTGGTCCAAGGCAGGGTGGCATAGAACGGGTACAAAAGTTTAAGGTGGCAGAAGATAGAAAAAACAAGTGCAAAGAGGAAAAGCAAGCCTCTTTTCCTTCCTTATATTGTATTCTGGCTATCCATCCATAGCAACTCTGTGCCCTCCTCTTCCACAAGCTGAGGATGTCTACAAGGTACCGATTCTGGCCCCTTGCTGAGTAGACTTCTATGCTTCCCAAGTTAGCACAATGTATCAACCATCACAATCATAAAAGGAAAGCTCCAGCTTCCATAAAGTATGCTGAATTGTTCCTGTTTTGCCCTCATAGAGAATCTGAGGGTAAATTAGGTCCCAAATCCAGTCCAATCAGTAAGTTCAGCAGGCTCAGAAGCTAAGGAGTGGTCTTCTTGGCTTCTCATTTGAAAGAGCACCAGTATTCCTATTTATTTCTTCCCAGATATTTTCTTTGTGGTGCCTGATCTATAAAGTCAACAACATACAATAAACTTCTTCTGTCCCAGCTTGTCTTAACATATTTTCCAGAGAAAGAAAACCCTTTCCTGAAAATGTGAACAGTGAGCCTTAACTACACTAGGTAATTTGGGTTGATAAGAGTCTGTAGATGGCCCAGACACAGGGATTGACTCTAAAGTTAGCATAATCAATTTAGCATCTGTAGATCCCACCAATTTTTGAGACTTAACTAAAAGTAAAAGGACTTTCTGGGTATTCTCATGAGTCACACATAATGTAGAATAGATAAATGAGAGCTATAAATAACATTTGAATGTTCATTTAATTTTATTGTGGTATATGGGCCTGAAAATATGTCTAGTCTGGCATATATATCACCATCAGCATGGTAAATCTCAGGAAGATAATCTATCTAGTTAACAGGTTGCAAAAGAAGTAGATTTGGAGCTTAGGTCCAAAGCTCATCATCACAGCAAGTCTAATACATATAAAAGCTGACAAAACAAAAAAACCAGTAAGGTGAATAAGATATTATCTGGTATGGGTGGTAGCCCCATATAGATTGTCACTGCCCTAGCCTCATGTATTTCCATGAACCAACAATTTAAGTGAAACTCCTAGTATTTTTTTTAAATGGACTTTCATTTTGTTAGCAGCCTTTGAGTCTTCTGCTATTTGATCATTGGGTTCTTCCCATCTTTTAAAGAAGCTCCCTATGATGTTGGTTTTTTACTCATTTTGGCTGAGGCTAGCTATTGAGCATACAAAAACTGTGAGAGAAGAGACATGGTGAAAATGGAAAATAAAATAATGGACAAGTCACATGTGAATTAATGTAAGTGTCAGATTCTGCATCAAAGCCTGCTACCAGATACAGCTACACAGCTGAAGTTACTCAACTCACTGACCACTCTAAAGCCTGCCATCAGATGCAGCTTGTCACTTGCAACTCACTTTTAATGCAAATGACAATCAATTAGTATATGTGCAATCAATGCTCTCTACTAATGTTCATCTGTATTTGTAGGGGATCCCCAGTGCTAGTATCACCACCTCAGCTCCACCTAAAATCTTAAGGCATCATCTTCTAAGAACAGTGCAGCCTAGATTTCTTGTAATGACCTATAAATCTGAAAGGAGGCAGCACTCATGCAGTAATACAAGTGGTGGTGAGTGGTTGTGAATACAAATGGTCATTTGCTGTTCATCTCCTGCTATTCACCTTGTTTATTTATTTA